CCACCTTAACCACATCGTTTGTATTTTCACCTTGTAAATCAAAGGAGTGCATCGATGATCCCGCATTTGCTGCCTTGGTTGGATATATGGATTTAATTGCTTTCCAAAACTTATTTGGGTTGGCACTGTTTTCTCTTAGTAGGTCTTTATGATATGTCGATTTTGCTTTTCTAATTGCAATGTTGACCTCATTTCTTTTTCGTTTATAATGAGAAATGTCCACTTCCGCCCTCGTTCTTCTCGATTTGCGGAGAAGTTTATCGCGGTCGTTCATAAGTTTTTTGACTTCAGTGTTTAGCCATGGAGCAGGCTTACTCCTTACATTTTTGTGTATCTTTGGGGAATGGCGCTCAAAAAGTTTTTCTAAAGTATTTTTCATTGGGGACCATGCTTCGTTTACATTTCTACAGATGTAAAAAGTAGACCAGTCAATGGCCTCTAGATCTTTATTCATTTCCTCTGGCCGATAGTTCTTATAATCGCGACAGACTATGTTCCTTGGCTTGAAACCAGAGTGATTCAATTTCCTTGCACAGTCAACCATGTCATGACCACCGATGCTGGTAGGAATAACTTCAGTTTGTATCATATTTGCCGGGTTATTTGTTAAGATGACGTCTATCAGAGTTTCAGATGATTTTGCTACTCTCGTGGGTTTTTCAACCATTTGTTTCAGACCAAAAACACTCAAAATAGCCTTGAATTCTTTGTTGTTCTGCTTTAGAAAGTTCACATTCAGGTCTCCCATGAGTATTTTCTCTTGTGATTTTTCAGACACTTTAGAAAGCATGCTATTCAAATGGTTGTTGAAATCTTTACTAAGATATTTAGAGCTATCAGGAGGACGATACATAATTCCCACTAGGAAACTCTTCGAATGTTTTGGCCAAATCTCAATCCAGATTGCTTCGATGTTATCATTTTCTAAATCGTATCGTCGATCCCAAACTACACCATCACCGATATACGCTCCAACTCCACCACCTTTTCCAAACTTCCTTGATCGATTTATGAAAGAGTAGCCAGGTACGTCGTATATTGCTTCCTCTTGCTCAAATCCCGCTTCGATGTGTGTTTCACTCAGTGACAAAATGTCAATGCCTGGAAAACTTTGTAGCAGTTCAGACACATGTCCAAGGTTTCCAAAGAGTCCCCTCACGTTTTGGTGAAAGATTTTCATTCCTTTGTTGTTAGTCAATGAGGTTAATTCTGAGATGTTCCTTCTAAAATTTCCAGGCCCGGGACATTGCTCCACATCGCCACACATAAGGATTTAAATGCTAAAAAAGCTTTGCTTCGACGTTCGCATGCGAAATAAAAACTTTCCATCTCTCGCTTGCCACATGCTTGAGCAAATAAATGACTCTCCATATTTGGTCTCCTTAGCTTCCTCTCCAATCAACGAAAGTCCAATGCAGTCTGAGCTAACAAATGCACATTGCTTAACGTAAAGGTTTATCGAAAATATCACCACGGTGAGCACAAACCTCCACACAGCAGCCATTTTGATTTTTCAAACATTATCATGACAAAGAACTGAGTTAAATTTTTCTGAGTCTGACATAATTAATTATGGTTTTTTAATCCTATCGACATTACCATACTTTGACTAAAGAGAAAACAAAGCGTTATACATTGTAGGATTCTATGTAATAAGGGTACGCAAGTGTATTGCAGATATTTTTTACATTAGTAAGATAATCAACATGCATTTGATTTTCGACATGTATGATATTCCACATGCATGATATTCTAAATGCATGATTTTCCACATGCATGATACTCGACATGCATGAAATTACGCATGCATGAAATTACACATCCATGAAATTACACATCCATGATTTTCCATATGCATGATAAACTATCTGCATGATATTCCACATGCATGATATACTATCTGCATGATATTCCACATGCATGATATTCCACATGCATGATATTCCACATGCATGATATTCCACATGCATGATATTCCACATGCATGATATTCCACATGCATGAAATTACAAATGCATGATATTCCACATGCATGATTTTCCATATGCATGGTATACTATCTGCGTGATATTCCACATGCATGATATTCCACATGCATGATATTCCACATGTATGAAATTACACATGCATGAAATAACACATGCATGAAATTACACATCCATGATTTTCCATATGCATGATAAACTATCTGCATGATATTCCACATGCATGAAATACTATATGCGTGATATTCCACATGCATGATATTCCACATGCATGATATTCCACATGCATGATATTCCACATGCATGATACTCCACATGCATGAAATTACAAATGCATGATGTTCCACATGCATGATTTTCCATATGCATGGTATACTATCTGCATGATATTCCACATGCATGAAATACTATCTGCGTGATATTCCACATGCATGATATTCTAAATGCATGATTTTCCATATGCATGATATTCCACATGCATGAAATTACACATGCATGAAATTACACATGGATGAAATTACATATGCATAATATCCCATATGCATGAAATTACACATGCATGATATTCCACATGCATGATATTCCAGATGCATGAAATTCTACAAGCATGAAACTACACATGCATGAAACTACATATGGATGAAATTACACATGGATGAAAATACACATGCATGAAATTACACATCCATGAAATTACACATCCATGAAATTACACATCCATGAAATTACACATCCATGATTTTCCATATGCATGATAAACTATCTGCATGATGTTCCACATCCATGATATTCTAAATGCATGATATTCCACATGCATGATATACTATCTGCATGATATTCCACATGCATGATATTCCACATGCATGATATTCCACATGCATGAAATTAAACATTCATGAAATTACACATCCATGATTATCCATATGCATGATACACTATCTGCATGATATTCCACATGCATTATATTCTAAATGCATGATATTCCACATGCATAATATTCCACATGCATGGTTTTCCATATGCATGATATTCTAAATGCATGATTTTCCATATGCATGATATACTATCTGCATGAAATTACACATGCATGAAATTACACATGCATAATACTCCACATGCATGATTTTCCATATGCATGATATTCTAAATGCATGATTTTCCATATGCATGATATACTATCTGCATGAAATTACACATGCATGAAATTACACATGCATAATACTCCACATGCATGATTTTCCATATGCATGATATTCTAAATGCATGATTTTCCATATGCATGATATACTATCTGCATGAAATTACACATGCATGAAATTACACATGCATAATACTCCACATGCATGATTTTCCATATGCATGATATTCTAAATGCATGATTTTCCATATGCATGATATACTATCTGCATGAAATTACACATGCATGAAATTACACATGCATAATACTCCACATGCATGATTTTCCATATGCATGATATTCTAAATGCATGATTTTCCATATGCATGATATACTATCTGCATGAAATTACACATGCATGAAATTACACATGCATAATACTCCACATGCATGATTTTCCATATGCATGATATTCTAAATGCATGATTTTCCATATGCATGATATACTATCTGCATGAAATTACACATGCATGAAATTACACATGCATAATACTCCACATGCATGATTTTCCATATGCATGATATTCTAAATGCATGATTTTCCATATGCATGATATACTATCTGCATGAAATTACACATGCATGAAATTACACATGCATAATACTCCACATGCATGATTTTCCATATGCATGATATTCTAAATGCATGATTTTCCATATGCATGATATACTATCTGCATGAAATTACACATGCATGAAATTACACATGCATAATACTCCACATGCATGATTTTCCATATGCATGATATTCTAAATGCATGATTTTCCATATGCATGATATACTATCTGCATGAAATTACACATGCATGAAATTACACATGCATAATACTCCACATGCATGATTTTCCATATGCATGATATTCTAAATGCATGATTTTCCATATGCATGATATACTATCTGCATGAAATTACACATGCATGAAATTACACATGCATAATATTCCACATGCATGATTATCCATATGCATGGTATTCTAAATGCACGATTTTCCATATGCATGATATACTATCTGCATGAAATTACACATGCATGCAATTACACATGCATGATATTCCACATGCATGATTTTCCATATGCATGGTATACTATCTGCATGATATTCCACATGCATGATATTCCATATGCATGAAATTTCACAAGCATGAAACTACACATGCACGAAACTACGCATACATGTTAATCCACATGCATTTGATATTGCACATGCATGAAACTATACATGCATGATATAATACATGCATAATTTCCAAATGCATGATACACTACATGCATGCTATTCTAAATGCATAATATACTACCTGCATGATATCCACAGCTAAAAACAAATCGATTGAATCCGAGACAACATTCTTACCTTCAGGGTCACTAATGTCAGCAATTATGACATCATACTGTGACAAATGATTCTCCAGAAACTTGAATCCATCACAAATATGAACTGTGACTTTAT